GTTGGATAAGCAAAACCGCAACCAGATTTAGAATGGTGAGCATGGAGATGTGAAAGGCCAAATAGACAGATTTGCACAGAGTACGGAATCACTAAACTCGGCGACCCGATAATTTTGATGTGGTTGTGTAGATCTGACCCATTGTGAATTGATAGTCTTTTTGCACTTAGTTGACTGCACAAACGAGCATTCACAAACGCCTTCTTGTACCCACTTTACTACTCACTTACGCCTCAAAGTGCACCTCAGCGCTGTTTTAATCATTCATGACTCAGATAAAGACTACAAGGTTTCCGAAGTGCACTCTAGTGGCTATCCCACTTCCTACTTTCCTGTATGAACACCTCCGGATGTTCAACGACGTGCCTTGTCACAATGTTGTAGTGTGGCTCACTCCATCCTAAACGACCTTCTCGCTATATACACGCAGTCATTTCAAAATGCATGCTGTTTGAGATACTTCGGCCGACTCTTTATATGGTTTCGCATTTCACGAACGAATGTCGAATGGGTCACAAACCAGAGTCTCCTACTTAAATAACTCGTCATCATTAATGCTGAAGGTAGGTTGTGGACTGTCCGCAACAAGGTAGGCCAAGTGTAAATCCACGCTATACTGACAGATCATGGCGTTACTAACGCCATCTTCCCACCAACAAAATATGCTTGTGAGGCGTGAGGAGACGATGAAGTGAACGTCAAATTGTAGATTACTACATTATGCTTATCATTCGTGATAAATAAAATTATTCCTACACGAGAGGTCTCGGTGCATTCCAATGATCCCAACTCAATTTTGATCATTTACACATACTTTGGCAATTGGCAGCGTGCCTGTGGTAGGCGGTCTTTACTCTCTTCTTGGCAGACATAATTTTTGTTTTCCTTTCTGCATTTATTTGCACGCTTGCATTCTACTCCATTATGGCATAAATCCCCACAATTGTGAATATAATTATGCAAAAACGTGTATTTAAGTATCCTACATCACTTCTCCCTTAGTAGGTTCTACATAAAATTCTGACATGAATCGGTTAGCTCAAATGCACGGACATTCTTGCGGTTGTACATTTTGCGTTTAGCTCCCCTGAAGTTCGGTGGGTGCTTTTCTTTTTACTTAGTACCCTTTTTAGCTTAACCTTCTCCACATTCGCTTACACCTTCCACCCCCTTCCATCCTCTGTCCCTCAAAGAGATAATCAAGAAAGACAGACACATAAAGTCACTAAGCAAGAAGGGACTAAAATGGAAGCTATTGTATTTAAAAGCTGCCGTTATTGGGGTGTAGGCACTGATCAGCAGATGAGGGTCGCCATTTTACTACAGCCTCAACAACTGGTAGCAAAATCGTTTCTACGTACATCCTTAATTAAATGCCAATCACTTTGACTACTTGCCGCCACGCCTTATGTGATCGGCAAAGCTGAGAGCATAAGAACAAGCGCCATAGTCAAGCAGGCAATGATAAAATATTTGATTTGTAGACTTGCGGTGATAGAATGAGCTCCCGCAACACAATTGGTACACATTGCTTTTGAGGGAGCCTTCATCACACCCAAATGAGTGGAGCCATTCAAAGGCTGATGAAAGGTAGGCGTGGGTGCCAGACGATTCGCTTCCTGATTGGCCGAACCGAGCCACGCATTTGGAGTGCTCGCGTCAGCAGTCTTCGCATTCAAATGGCAATACGTTTGATTCGGGAGACAAAGTGAAGCACACAGGAGGCACCACCTAATATTCAAGGAAATCACATTATTTATGTCGAAGTAAAGGCAGCGGAAATTGGAGACGTGAGACCACAACTGGAATTGGGTTGATACGCATGCTGGTGGGGGGTAACACCGCCATTGCCGGCAGTTTCAGCAACAAAATGTTTCAGCTTAACTGAGGAAGTTAGGGGAAGCCTTTAAATGGAATTGACTTTTGAGTGTGGCAATGTGGCGTGGCTGACTGTCCAGTTGCGAAATAAGCGCTTCAATTTGAGGTGCCAAAGATGAGTGCACAGGTCCACTTTTAGCGAAAGAAACCCATTTGTGTTGCTGTTTGTCGTTAAGATAGATGAATAAGGTGTAATTGGAATTGCACAAGGTCGGAAGCTTAAAATGCTTGGCACTTTTGAAGTTGGGAGTGGAAATGTTGAGGCTATAAGACGGTGGATCAAGAGAAAATTGGGAAAGCGTTATAAAGTGCACAAGAAGGAAAAAGCTCTAATGAGAACTGCATACGACTTCGTTGGTAATTCAGCGATGGAGTTCAGCCGAGCCGAAATTCACGAGGATCGACGAAGCTGCATAGTCAAGGTTGTGAAGGAGGCAGTCCCGCACCACCGTATTTTAGCCAACTCTCAGCGACAATTCGCACAGTACGGAAAAATTTTTCAATATCTCTAATTCAAGTTAGCAAATTTAGTGAAGTATTAAAAAAAATTTAAGAGTATATTTGAGTTCATTATTTGTCCCTTTGGCAGGACAAACATATATAGCATTGCGTTTGTTGTCCTATATTTGGAGGAGGCAAGCAACACTTTGGAATTGATGCGTAAGAGTAGCGATGGAAAGACTCTAAGCAGTAACTAATATACCGTACAAGAAGAAGTAGAACCATCTTTCAACATTATTTCGTGTACTTCTTCTGCATACACACCTTCAACAAACAACAACAAAGTGGTGTCGAAAACCAAGCTTCTATTCACCTGGACTCATTCAAATGCAATTAGCTTCGTTTGTGACTGCGGCATATAAAAACACAACAGTTGTGCCATTCTCATGGACTAGCTGTTTGCGTCCGTTCAAGGAATCTTAGAGCTGATATTTATGCATCCACATCAAGTGCACCGCACCTGACCTCATTAAAGAAGTGACTCCTACCTTGCCGCAGTGATTGTGCTGAGGTAAAAATCACTCTGGGATATTTCTCTCGACGATGTGTTAGTATCTGATTTTGCCTCCAACACATGGAGGGGACTTTCTGAATTCACGAACTATGCCAACAGTTCTGTTCCCTTAAAGGAAGCAAAAATTATGGCAGTAAACGACCAATTGGACTTAATGCAGTGAGCATAGAAATGGGAAAAGCTAAATGGACGGGTTCGTATAAAGCACGAGACTACTAAACTGGAAGATCTGGTAGCTTGGGTGCGGTCGTTTCGAGCTGGTGAATTGTACCTTGCTGGCTGCACACACAAGCATTCATTAAAGCCTCCATGGACTAGCTTTGCTATTCATTCACTTAACCACATTCATCATGATGCGTCTTCTATTAACGTATTCGCTTCGACAGGGTATTTCTTCTGCAGTTCGTTGGACGCACAATGCATGTTATCAAGTCCGATCTCTTCTCTTCATTCTGCTCCCAATCCCCCATTCGAGAGACTTATCTCGCACTCAGCGTCGTACACAAAGGCGAAGAGGAATGAAATGGTGACCAGCAGTTCAAACAACTACGTCATGTTCTGCGCGAGGTTCTTGAATTCAGGACCACCATAATTCACGGGGTATCATTGCATGAAGGTAAGATTTTCGGGTAGACGTCAATATCTTTTTCCTCAAAAAATGAACATCTCAATGGGAAGAATTTTACTCTGACAGGACTACCACAACCTCTCACTGAGATGCACAAACGCAAGACAGGCATCAAAGGCTACGATTAATTCTTTTCGAGCGCATGGCCACAGTTCATTTACCAACCCGCGTTTTATCGTTCAAGATGTCCAAATCTGTGTAATGAGGCTAGCTTTTAATAATTTATTGCCAAATGCGTATGTAGCTACCAGCCATTTGCATGTTGAGGAATGCAGATTAAAACCCTTTCCCTCATTCCACCCCACGAAACACGAAGCTGCAAAGCTATGTGGTGGGATTCACTGGATGCGAGAATGTTTGTTTCCACCCAATTGGATGAAGCAAGATGCAAGAACGGTGTGAGCTAGTCAGTAAAGGCATGGGTGGGAGAAGTGGTGGGCAAATGAGATAATTCTAATAAGGAAATTAACCTTGCAACTGAGAAGTGGACCCACATTCCTTCTTGTCAAGGGCAAATTTAATCATACTAGACCCACTGCGCTTCTGGATGAATACGAGCTGTGAGGCCTACACCACGAATGCTCACCCATTACTGGACACCTAGCACACACACATCATCAAAACCACAGTACTTGAAATGCCATATCATGTACCGCTGGTAGCTGCACAAGCGAC